TTAAGGTACACGATATCTTGCCGTCAAGAGAGTGTGCTTATCTATTACAGACCATACCTACCTCAGGTTTAAATATGTATTRGTCTTGTTACCAACAGCATGGTAGTCTGCTGCCGTCAAGATGTCTATTCCATGAGGAAATGTACCCTGAATTGAAACATCATAAAAAATAAGCTTTTATTTGCTTCGTCCTTGTGTTTTTAAAATGATAAATGATTAAAAGGGACAGAAAAGTGGAGGACGACAATAGAATAAAGCTATAACACAAACCTGCCTGCCTACATTCTCTTGAAAAGCTGCCTGTAACGAAAGAAGACTTCACTTTAATAGATGCCCATAGAAAATAGACCTTTCTCAAATTAATTCCTTGAGTGACATGAAGTTAATGGCTATACAACTTGAGGTTGGACTTGGTRTGTTCATACATATRAACCTTAWSTTGAAGTCATTGTTTTGTGGTGAATTTGAGTACATTCTAAAACCTGTGGCATGGACATACACTTGTCAGTAATAAAATACCAGTAATTAGTTACCCAGTAATAGAAGCCTAAAATGCCCAAGATTTTTATTTAATATGAACTAAACCTTTATTAGAGTGAGCTTGGTTGAGGATATTAATTGTAATGTTGTCTTAGATACTTACAGAAGCAGCTCGCCTGCAGTTTACCTCCCGATCAAACAAGGCAGCCACAACAAGAGCACTAGGGTCAAGAAAAATAGCATAATTAAGCAAAATGATCACCAGGGATTTAAAGGTGGCAAAGTGATAGTATGTGAGAAGAGTATCTCCTTTGCTTTAATGGTTTTTCAGGGTTCTCCAGATTTTCTCCCTTCACACTAAATTCCAATTCAATCTTTAAGTTAGCTGTGCCAATCAGCCCAGAGGTTGTTTCAGGGTCTGATCTGTGAGTTAGCCATGCCCTGACTTAGATCAGCCCAGAGGTTGTTTCAGGGTTCTATCTGTGAGTTAGCCATGCCCTGACTTAGATCAGCCCAGAGATTGTTCCAGGGTTCTATCTGTCATTTAGCTATGCCCTGACTTAGAACTGACCAGAGGTTGTTTCTTGGTATTAACAAAACTTAGAGGTTGAAGATCACCACTACATCAACAATATTTTAACAACATGCTCTGACTACTGAGACATGCTTATATATAAAATAGATGTACATGCTGGGAGCCTTGGAGTTTTGAAGGGGGTTAAATGTCTAACTTACCTTGCCAACTGGTTGACGTGGGTTGTCATCTCCCTTGGATCATATGCACGTGCAAATGACCAGCACACRTAACAAGCACCATCACGAACATGACTACCTGAAAAAGATAAAACACACTCTTTATTCCTTAATAATATTAATAATTACTAGTGATAATAATAATTATTATTATTACCGTGACCTAACATCTATTTCACCCCAGCCTGCTCTCAGTCTGACCTCTAGCTCAGCTGGTAGAGCATCGGTAGTACAATTCTGAAGGTCATGGGTTCGATTCCCAGCGAGGTCAGAAATTAATTTTTCCGAATTTAATTCCAAGGGTCTTTCGCCTGGAATAACCTCGGTCCCAAGCACTACAACTTATCTATATTTCTATATCTTCATGTATTTCATAAGTGCTATGTGGTCCAATTATTCTCATATTATTTATTACCTTTATGGGCTTAGAAGTGGTTGGGTATTAAACAAATAAGACCTACCAACACTGTAAGAACCACGCCGTTCATCATATGCCAGGGCTTTCAGAACAACAGGAACAACTGAAGAAAAGGATTGTAATATATTTTGATAAATGGCTGTTAATACCACAGGTTTACACTTATTTCAATAAAGTTAGTCACCTGAAAAGATACAAAGCTGAGACCGACAAGGATTATGGATAGATACATTTTACATGTTTCAACCGCTTGATAACTGTTGATGGACTTGAGATCTTCTACTAGTTACAAGTTCACCTCCTGTGAGCATCCTCAACTGCTGCAGTTTGTGTCAAAAGCTTTACTTGTTGGATATAAAGCATTTCCCCATGATTCTCAGTGATCACAGCTTTCTAGGTTTTTGGTGACTAACTTTATTGAAATAAGTATATACCAAAAAGATGTTTGCGTTACCTTCTGGTAGTCGTTGTGGAAGAAGAAGACCTCTACGACCCAGCTCTGCTAAAGCTAAACATCCTRAAATCAAATAGTACATGCATGTTAGTGATCACACGAGATGTAATCATGATATTTAACAAGCTACTCACCTCCATGCCAAGCTCCATCTGTCTCATTTGGTGTAAACAACTCTAACACACTACCAACAACATCATCTGCAAGATCTTTAGGTAAGCGACCAGTGATTCGACCAACACTAGAAATAAATGTACAACAAAATAGTTTCACTTTGTAATTATAATTTTAGCGCATTTGAAAATGTATGTTGAATTTCTGCTTTACAAATAATTTTATTATTATTATTATTATTATTATTATTATTATTATTATTATGTGGGATGATTATCATATCTGATGATGTTGGCTGCTGTTGCTAATGATGATAGCAATGGCGGTGATGACTTTCATAGTGATTAATGATGACAATAAGAAAGTGAAGATGATGATGGTGATGATGATGATGATGACCTACATCTATATCTACATTTATTTAAGTTCATCAAAGGGGGGACCCATCACAGATAGACATGATGATAATGATTTATGATTTTTAAAGTGCCCTTTCTATGTAAATATAATCAAAGGCACTTTACATTGAGTTGTGAGCGACAGATTGCTTTTATGCAATTTACAAGCATGATGGTTTGTATGAAGTGTAGGCACTTAGGGTGGTCACTGCCAGGGTTTCTTTACGTCCTCAGTGGTTCTTTTACCTCCCTCCGATGTTGGTTAGTAATAATGTGTGTGGAGAGACGGGACCGCCATTTAAAGTGGTCATTGGAGCCACTTGAAAGTACAAGGGCAGAACTTTCTCCTCAGTTATTGTAAGACCCGGAGTGTTGGTCCGGCTAGGATTCGAACCACGACCTTCCACACGAAAGTCTGATGCTCAACCAACTGAGTCAACTGGTTTGTGGTAATGGTGGTAATGGGATGATGATAATAATAATAATTAATTATGATGGTGATGGTGATGTCAATAAATTAATGATGATAATGATGGTGGTGATGATGATGATGATGGTGACAATGATGATCATGATCATAACCTACCCCTTGGCGGCAGACCACCTGACCACAGTATCTTTATCCTTCAACCCAAGCAACAATTGTTCTAACAGGAAAGATATGAAGAAGTGATCAGATAGATGACAAAACCTGTAAAACAAGTTGTGTTTTTTTTAGTTACCCAAGACGTCTTCTAGCTCCTCAGGGATATCATACTCCTCTTCCTGTCAAAGTGGAAATGAATGAGATTGCTTTAGAATTGTCTCCAGCGTAAACTACAGTGACTGNAGACCTACCAACACTGTAAGAACCACGCCGTTCATCATATGCAAGGGCTTTCAGAACAACAGGAACAACTGAAGAAAACAATTGTAATGTTTGATTAATGGCTGTTAATACCACAGGTATACACTTATTTCATTAAAGTTAGTCACCTGAAAAGCTACAAAGCAGAGACCAACAAGGAATATGAATACATGGATAGATACATTTTACATTTTTGAACCGCTTGATAACTGTTGATGGACTTGAGATCTTCTACCAGTTACAAGTTAACCTACTCTGAGCATCCTCAACTGCTGCAGTTTGTGTCAAAAGCTTTACCCATGATTCTCAGCGATCACAGCTTTCTAGGTTTTTGGTGACTAACTTTATTGAAATAAGTATAGACCAAAACATGTTTGTGTTACCTTCTGGTAGTCGTTGTGGAAGAAGAAGACCTCTACGACCCAGCTCTGCTAAAGCTAAACATCCTGAAATCAAATAGTACATGCATGTTAGTGATCACACTCAAGATGTAATCATGATATTCAACAAGCTACACACCTCCATGCCAAGCTCCATCTGTTTCATTTGGTGTAAACAACTCTAACACACTAC